TATACGTATATTTACCACGAGGCGACGGTGGTGCGTATGAGCTCTTGGTCGGATTGTCGCACGAAAGGTCCGTAGAGATGCAGTCGATTGTACTTGTTCTGATCTCTGCTGAATCCTTTGTCGTACCACTGCTTGCGCAGACTCGTGGCCTTTCCACTGTCAATGGCCACAATGTCTGATTTGACTCTCAACAGATCATCTGGCAATCCTACGCACGCGGAGAGACAGAAATGGATGGCAGCAGATTAGTTTACGTAAACAATATATGCAAACAAACACATGCATAAAAATTGCATAATCAATGTACGCTAACAAACACGTGCACGGAATATACGAAATCAGATCAGTGTCCGCAAACAAACACATGTACAAAAATGCTGTTGACCTCGATGAATTGATGTCATGTGTCCCCGTAAGTGTCTAAATAAGGTTTTAGGGTTCTAAGGTTTTAGAATTTTAGGTGCACAGTGTTTGATGGCCGCCATCGGTAGCATTCACAAGTCACAACACAACACAAAAACTTTGGCAGCGAAACTCAGACAATTTCAGACAAGATATGTCAAGGGTTTTATGGTTTACTAAAACCCCGAAACCACGTCAACAGCAGAAGAGGCACAACGACAGCCCAATGGCAGCACAACAACAGACAAGATGACACGTTTGCGTTTGAGATCATCTTGGGTGACACGGAGGCTATCCCACTCACACACATGCAATAGAGACACTCTCAGCAACTACGCCAACGGATGGAGCAGTACATTACCATCCACAAACTAATGTACACCTAACACACACATTACACATCCACACAACATTACATGTGATAGTCTCAGCTGTGCACCAACGGATGGAGCAGTACATTACCATCCACAAACTAAAGTACACCTAACACACACATTACACCCCCACACAACATTACATGTGATAGTCTCAGCTGTGCACCACCCACCAACGGATGGAGCAGTACATTACCATCCACAACCGAATTTATACTTCACACACATACAGTACACCCCCACACACATTACATGTGATGATCTGACCTTCGGTGTAGGGTGTGAGCTGCGGGTACCGTTGCAGCAGTTTCCTTTCGTTCGCTTCTTCGCGCACTCTCTCCTCCTCTTCCCAGGCGTCACAGTCGATCTCATCACCACACGTGACACCCACGTCACTGTCACTGTCACTGTCATTGTCACTGTCACTGTCACTGACAATGCATTCACCCACTCCACTGCTTCGCGCACTGCCAAACAGTATAACAGCATGACTAATTTCAGATAACCCAAAGACTTAAACTCTAAACCCTGAACCCTAACACTCAACAGGATGCACCCGCTCAATAAAATGAGATAGCTACAGTCAATGTGAGGTGATCTATAGACTGTCATCTGCTATTCGCAACGCACTAGCCCCTCGTAGCAGACACACGTGACAGTTCGAACGCGTACATTGCCATGTACGCACAAATGAGAAACAAAAGTATATAGCCCACGCACAGTCCACCAGGTTTGTGTTTGTGTGTGTGTCTGGTGTGTGTGTGTGTGTGTATGTGTGTGTGTGTGTGTGTGTGTGTGTGTGTGTGTGTGTGTGTGTATGTGTGTGTATGTGTCTGTGTCTGTGTCTGTGTCTGTGTGTAGACGCGTGAGTGTGTATACTTGTACATGTACGTGTACATATACATGTAAATGTACATTTACATATAGTACATGTACAAGCACATACATGTACAGGTACATACATGTATAGGTACATACATGTACTGTACAGGTACATACGTGTCATACATGTACAGGTACATGCATGTACAGGTGCATACATGTACAGGTACATACATGTACAGATACATACATGTACAGGTACATATATGTACAGGGACATACATGTACAGGTACATACATGTACAGGTAAATACATGTACAGGTACATGCATGTACAGGTGCATACATGTACAGGTACATACTTGTACAGATACATACATGTACAGGTACATACATGTACAGGTACAAACATGCACATACATGTACATGTACATTCATGCGTACATGTATGCACATATACATACATTTACTTATACATGTACATGTACATGTCCAAGTACATACACGTACACGTACATACATTTACAGTTACATACATGTACATGTACATACAAGTACAGGTACATATATGTACATGTACATACATGTACAGGTATATATATGTACATGCATGTACATGTACATACATATACAGTTACATACATATACATACATACATACATGTACATCTACATACATGTACATACATTGATACATGTACATCCATTGATACTTGTACATGCATTGATACATGTACATACATTGAAACTCTTCTATCACTGAAAGCGTGAGACATGTACATACATTGAAACTCTTTTTTCACTGAAAGCGTGCGCTTGGAAGTCCCTCCAGACTTTATTGACGACTTTTTTGTTTGTCCGTCACCTATAGACCTCTATGCAAAATTACGTTCTGTAGAAATACTCCTATATATTTACAAATAGGCCCATTGAAGAATTCAAAACCAACCAATGAAAACTTCGTGCACAGAATATTTTAACGCGTTGAAAGGGAATTTAAAGGGCTGTAAGATGTGAGGCACTGGCGTCTGGCTACCTTATTCTGATTTTCAGTCATCATAATGCATTTATATATATTTAATGATAATAAAAGCTAGGGCGTTTCCTCACAATAGCAGTTCCAACGGTTTCAGCCCCCATCACGTGAATGTCGGCGACATGATTTATTGAAATTAGCTTTTATTTAGCTGGCTTAAATCATAGCCGCTCTTTTTAGGCGGCTAGGCAGAAATCGATTTATTTTTTGGTAAAACAAAATGACACTTTGTTTACCCCTGCCATTTTCTGTCATAAATCATTTAGGAGTATGTATACTATGCATAAATCTATATTTAAAACATGTCACTTTGTTTATTTATCCCTGCCATTTTTTTGAAAATATCATTCAGCCGGGAAAGCGGGAGTCCGGGACTCCCGGCCCCCGGGATCCGGGACGGCCGTTTCTAGATTCCGTGCATTGGTTTATTTACGTATTTATTTTACAGAACCGAGATTGTGGATTTGTGGTGACATGTCACATATCACATTTCCTCCTCACTGCTACAGTGCTGGTGCATATCATCATCAACAAAATACGTGTCACACGGCACATAAATAGATAATAAAATAGAACTCTTCCGAACACACGCTCACTATCTAATCATCTGTGACATTGTGTACGAAGGGGCTGCATACCATACAACTTTGCTTATTAGCACTTTTTCCAGTACTTACACCTAACCGGCCTATTCGATCTATTCTAAACGCTATGTCTTTAAGTACAGTAATAGCGCTGGTGACGGGTGCCGGCTCAGGCTTGGGACGTGCCACTGCTATTCGACTGGCCAAACACGGAGCGAAAGTGTGCATTCTGGACTTAGAGTCCAGCAAAGGTACTGAGGTGCAGCAGGGGATCGGAAATAGCTCAGTGTTCATACCGACTGATGTCACAAATGAAGACCAGGTGGGTTTCGTGTTTAGTATGTATATGCATGCATGTATATATATATAAATATATATATATATATATATATATATATATATATATGTATATATATATATATATATATGTATATATATTCTTAAATTATTATATTATTATATATGTGTGTGTGTGTATGTTTGGTGTGTGTGCTATATGTGCATTGCAATGGTTTAGAAATTCTTGTGAATTCACCGTTGTGATCCTTTGGAGCTAAGTTATAGTAAAATCCTGAAGTACCGCAATCATACACGAGTACAGCGTTAGGCAGACGCTGATAGTTTTTCTTGTCAATTTTCAATTTTAGAATTCAGTTTCTGTCTTGGTTGAAGTCACTTTTCTATTTATTGTATATGCTGCTACTGCCGTGCGTTTGATATTGTTATACGAAAGTAGCACTAGTTTTATTTAAGACTCTATTCTCGCCGTATATCGCTGCTCAAGCCAACAAACTGACTATCATAGCGAACCTCTATGAACAACCTCGGTGTGGTAGAACGACTGTCGATGTAGCGAAAGGATTGACAACAAGTGTCTTGGTTAGTTCAGATACACTTTTATAGTCGCCTTAATTATTCAATCATGTGTCGTAATAGGTCAAGCACGCTATTTCCACCGCGGAGGAAACCTTCGGTGGACCCATTAACGTGGCTATCAACTGTGCTGGTATCGGAATTGCTGAGAAGACTCTCGGCAAAAAGGGCGCACATTCTCTGGTAAGTCGGTCAGCACATACACGCATATTATATATAGATATAGATACATATATGTATATATATATATATATAAATAGTGTTATTTCTGATATTCAGTCAAAAAAATCAATTAGGACTTTGATTGTACGTGTGTGATGTGTCTGTTGGAGGTCTATAGTCGTGCAGATGAATCGTGGCAGAAAGGCAATCGCTTGAAATTTTTATTTCCGGCAAGTATACCCGTATATTGGTTTATATATCTGTGTGATCTTACTTGGCATTTGTACTGGCAAGGCGTGTTGAAGTATCTTATTCCGCTGCATCTAAAACTACGTATATTGCATGTGCAACCCATACAAACTCAACAGACCCCATACAGCATTACCTATATCTGAGCCGCTAGAGTTGTTGACTATAATATGATGAATTGTCTATTGTGACTTGACGAATCGGGTGTGGTTCCCTGGTATTTAACGGATAACATGAATGATATTTCAAACAGGCCAATTTCGAAAAGGTTTTGAAAGTCAATACCATTGGTTCCTTCAATGTTCTCCGTCTGGCTGCTGAGCGTATGGCTGCGGCAGAGCCCTCACTCCCCACTGGCGATAGAGGAGTTATCATCAATACCGCGAGGTGGGTAGTAAATGTGCAGAAATGCAGTGGTACATTTAACTGTTTGTATGCCTACCTATAAACGGGGGTATATGTATACGTGTCCTACGCCACGGGTATATGAAGCTATATTTATAACTGCAAAATTGTATGCATGCGTATGTGTAAATATGTTACATATACGCATATACATATTTAGGATTAGATTCGTGTGTATGAATTTCATCTATATCTTAAGTCATGGATATTCGCTGTCCAGCTCTGCATTTGCTTCATATGTATTACGTTTCTGTAAGCTTTATACATACATAATTGCACTTATACCTCTACGCATATCGACCTCTGCCTACAATACTTCTGCGTACTTTGAATAGTTGTCGGAACGTATATGCCATATCGTATCGTATATACATCCAGCTGTCCTCATCAATTTTCGACCGACATCTGCAAATAGTGTCGCTGCATACGATGGACAGATTGGTCAGGCCGCCTATTCCGCGTCAAAGGGTGCTATTGTAGGCATGACACTGCCAATTGCACGTGATCTTTCCAAGTCGAAGATTCGCGTCAACACCATTGCCCCCGGACTGTTCAAAACTCCTCTGCTCGCCAGTCTACCCCAAAATGTTATTGTATGTTCTTCTTATTGCGTGGTTATTGCGTCTGTGCGTGCGTAAATCCTTTTTTACATCAATTGTCATGGGCTGAGCTTTTCTATCGGACACGGTAGTACTTTTATTTCAATATTTTTGCACATGTTGTCATCAATAAAACTGCTATTGTGCGCGGAGCGAGTGCTAGTGGACTCGGTGGATAGGCATATTGTCGTGCCTTATCAAATTTGAAACTACATTTTATTTTGGTCAATCAGCTTCACTATGAATACATGGATGAAGGTGAAATGCCACGATTCTACACGGGACACACTAGTATCATTTACATAGACCATAGAAAATTGTATAATAAGAGACTCGCTTAAACAGAAACGTACTCACTAGCTTATACACCATATCACACAATTACAGGAAGCGCTAAATATGACGGTTCCGTACCCCGCGCGTCTGGGAGACCCCGATGAGTACGGACAGATGTGTCAGAGTATCATCGAAAATGGCTACCTGAATGGTGAGACCATTCGTCTGGACGGGGCTATCCGCATGGCCCCTAAATAGGTGATTCAAAAAGAGATACAACATATACTAGCTTGCGACATGAATAAACCCGAGCATACAGATGTAGAGCCAGGAAGCATCCAAATATGTAGATGGCGCTTGTTCTGATTTGACATGTGCAATAATCGACAATTGAGTTGGGCATTACAAAGAACTTGGACCGCTCTTTCAGTGAGCATCTATTAAAATAAAGTACTATCAGACTCAGGATCGGACTGTTTAGAACGTGGCACATTGAGAGATTGATCAAATGGTTTGCACATACTCTTCACTAGTACGTTCACAATCTGAGGAACTATTTATTATTATTTTGGGGTTGGCGGTAAGAATGCTTGATGCAAAGAGATACGGCTTATCGTATAAGGAGACATTCCATGCTTATGTGTGCACGAATGCATGGGCAATTTCTACATTGAGATCCAGATAAACTAGGACCAAAAAATTCAACCGAGCGGAGGACCTTATACCATTCCAGAGCATATATAAAGTAAATATATTGCAGACTGAGTGTCGATAGTCTCACTCTTCGATTCTCTCGTACCAAGTCAGCATGGTTGGGCTCGACTATTACCTAGATTGATACGAGGTACAGGGCATCGCGCATGTGTACCTATGTTTTATCAGTATGTATCTCCAGCTTCCAGTATCTGAATATCAAAACCATTACTTACTCTTTTCCATAGATTTTATTTGCCTGGGCGAGCATCAATCCTTCTTCCGGTCGTATCTGTTACAGATCTAGTATGGTATATATTTATCATATACAAATTACAATTAAAAGAATTAAGACGACTATACTTTAATATATGTACATTTACTATTAATCGCATCAAGTCAATGATCCTTGGTGCACATTGCGATTGATCATATCAAGACAATGATACTTCCGTGTTAGCTGAATTGTATAAGAATGTTCTGAAGCTCCTTAAGCATACTATCCCGATCAGATGGCTTCAGTTTGAAAGATGCCTGTTGGTGTTGTTAAGCGAGCCCTCATAGACAACCATCTCTGTTAATTTGAACGCCATCAGCTCGCGATATATATCCATCATAGACATATCTCCGGAGGAGTTCACTGTGGCCGCTCGACAGTAAACTGTGCGATGATACGTAGTGTGTACTATTGGCTTGGCCTTGAAACAAACTCGATTTCGAGAATTCGGTCGCACTTCAGTGTGAGTTTGCATGATGCTCCCATCAGATTGATCCAACTTATCAGCAGTTCGCGCGGGAGTCGACCCGCTTTTATACTCGGTTTTGCTAGTTAGGTTCTCTACCACTTATCAATTCACCATACCTAGTCGGAAGACTGCGTCGCCTTTATTGTGACGAGTGACTTTTGTTTTCTTGATGCCTTGTTTCTGTCGGAATACGCGGACTGTATGGCGACGGGCAAGGTGCGTCCATCGCTGGTACTGAATCATTTGCAAACAATTCGGGCAAGTTACTAACAGAATTCGGTGTTCCGTCACTCTCTTGTTGAAAATTCGAGTGTGTCACCTGTGATTTTTGTATGTTTGGCATCGTAACAACCTCACGTCTAATTCTCTAGCTAGAATTGTGAGGATTCGAGTGTGTCACCTGTGATTTTTGTATGTTTGGCATCGTAGCAACCTCACGTCTAATTCCCTAGCTAGAATTGTGAGCTTCTGGTGTGTTCTCGCAAACACTGACTGAAAATACACTGAGAACATCATTGAATCCGAAAAGTTAGGCGTCTGAGAACCACAGGGAGTCTGATCTGTTTCGTAAAATTGTAGATCTATAGGCTCTGAGATCCTGAGATCCCTCGCAAACACTGACTGAAAATACACTGAGAACATCATTGAATCCGAAAAGTTAGGCGTCTGAGAACCACAGGGAGTCTGATCTGTTTCGTAAAATTGTAGATCTATAGGCTCTGAGATCCTGAGATCCCATGAAAGTCACTTCCACTTCGTGCAAATCTGCGTATGTCGTTGTCTGCGTTGTCTGTGATGTTTCTTTGTTGCGAATCCGAGCCTCCATTTTTCTGGCAGATCTTTTGGAAGATCTTCGGTATAGCCATAGTAGTTATATTGTGTTGATTTTGTTAGAATGCTACACACTCACTGCTTGCTACTGTTAATATAGGTATATTGCAGAAGCCGACGAACCGTGAACAGTTGAGTGGCATGACGGCTAGAAGGTTCGGTAGGGCAGTGGCTGATTTTTCGATACATTGTTGTAGACCGAGTACTACATTCTCTCATTTGCGTAGTCGCAGTTTGACTCACTCACGCATCATTGGCATCGTGTCTAAAACTCTCTATTGTCATTGTAATGTGTTGTTAATATGTGAACAAATGGCTATCAATCGTTACGCGAGTGAGGCGACTGGACTGACCCGACTCTCGAGTAAAACCTTTTTTTTTGTTGATATTTGATATTTTTTAAATATATGTACGATATAATATTGATATTGCAGATTTCAAATTTTGAGTATTAACGGTAGAAGCAGGTCGTTCCCAGGACCCAGGGCGGGGCCCGCCTGCGGTTTTGGGCTCTTGTGCACATTCTATATCTAGATCAATAATATCGGCTAAATTTTTGATGCGGACCTTAGAAAAATAATGTTGTTCAACTAAAATGTCGTTCCAAAATCCGGGACTTTGGAGCGTTGTATTGGCTTTAACACTTGATGACCGATCCCAACTGTGAAAACCGATTATATATATATATATATATATATATATATATATATATGTATATATATTAGTCTGTGTATATATATTTTGTTTAGTTGTTATATATTACTATATAT